ATTTGATGTATCTTTAGCCCATCCGGCATGGCTCAGCGGTTGAGCATCTACCTAGGATCCAGAAGATTGCGGTTCAGTTCCCAGTTAGGGCACATGCCTGGGCTGCAGGCTCGATCCCCAGTTGGGGGCATGCAGGAGGCAGCTGATCAATGATGGGGATCGAGCCCGCAACCCAGGCATGTGCCCTGACCAGGAATTGAACCGCAGTCTCTTGGATCCTAGGTCAATGCTCAACTGCTGAGCCACACCGGCTGGGCCCATATCATTTTTTAAATCAACTTAATTTTATATGAATAATATAATTTGCCACAGCTCATTACTAATTAGAATATAGATCAAATTGTGCCTCTTAAAATCCCAAATCTGAAACTTCTTATTAGATACAGGAAGTTAGGAAATAATTTCTCAGATTGTGAAGAATTTATTACAGAATTATTTTGTTTGGGGCTCTTTTAACCCTTGCTTTCTATTTTTAGGCTTAATCCAAACAATCACAGTTTAGGTTGCAGTTAGTAAAGAAAACTTACATACACATAAACTTATTTTAATCTGAGAACTAGCTTTAAAAATAATTACTGTGATGAGTGTGTGGGGAGAGGGGGTCCCTTCTCTCTTTTTTCCCCCAAATTTCCTACATTCTATTTTAGTTTTCCTTATTTTCTCTTCCTCATCTGTTATCCTTTGTTTTCTTCCCATGTTCTTTCAGAATTGTTTGGGGAAGAAGGCATGAATAGACTGATTGAACTATTTGGATGTAAAAGAGACCAAAAAAATCAAAATTGAGATTATGGAATAGGAAAAAGAATTTTTTGCCAAGAAATGTAGGTTTTAGACTCAGTAAATTTAAAATCATATTTAAATATATGACCTAAAGCTACAGTGGTAAAGTAAAAATTCAGTATGAAATTAAGAAGTATGTGAAAATTTTGGAATTAACATTGTAGAATGAGAAATGTCATTGGCTCTAGGCTAAGCCCTATGTGGCACCCATAGATAGCAGGTGGTGGAAAAGGAAACTCTGATTCTTAGGGACCTCCAGCTTTGTCAGTATAGTATTGCCCTGGCATTTCTTATTTCCTAACGTTGAAATTATGAACACAGTCACAGAATAAATTAAAAACAAATTAAAGTCGCATCATTTACTTAGGTGAGTATTCAGTTCACTTTTGTGTGAAGAAATAGTAGCTTTGACTAATTTGTGTTATGTTTAATTTTTTCTTTTTAGCAGCCAACTCTTCCTGCCAAATAAATAGAGTCATCAGTCATCCCACTCTTCCCATCAGCATCACTGCTCATGAAGACAGGCATATCAAATTCTATGATAACAATACAGGTAAGAATTTATTAAAAATTAATTAAAGCAAAAAAAAAAGTCCTCCACTCTCAGTAGGCCTTTTTTGGTGTCTATCCATGACTTTATCATCAGGGAATAGGCATTGAAACACAGGTACTCTCCCAGCTCAGTTTCTGTTCATTTCATGCAGATCTGCTAAGAACTACTCATGATAGCGTATAGAGTCATCTTGGTTTATTTAATAGTAAGTACTTGCTATATTTTGGCCCTGGAGTCAAGGTTATCAGTAGGAACATAATGAAAATTTCATTCAAATACCAATAAAAATGATCCCTTACTGTGAATATACTGGGGAAAAGTAGAAGTAGAAGCATATGGTCATTATATTTTGTTTGAAATCATTCAATTCTTGAATAGCCTTAGTGTTCAGATTGAAAACCCCTGAGTCATTTGCTTTTATTTTATTCATTTTTACATGGACTAATCTTTTCTGCATTGTAATGCTATTTGGTTCTGATTGATTTGAGTTGGGGCTTTTCCAGTTTTTATTGGATTACATTTCGCTAGTCTAAAGGAAATTCATGAAGAGCTGTGCTGGGAGGAAAACACTATGTTAGCAGCCATATTTACCTGAGTGTCTGCTATTGGCTTTGTAAATATGTTGACTTTTGCTGACTTTACTTAGCTGTGAGTGATGAGTAATTTAATATTCTCAAACTCTTTTTATATATTGTTTCCACCAAAATTGTGGCCAGGTTTTCTCTCTATTTCTTTATCTTTATATCAGTCTCTGTTCCCACAATCTATATAATTTGCTTGTAGCTGAAGGATGCAAAGTAGGTGATTAATGTCTGAGTTCTGGTTAGTGCACGTGGCTTAAAGGAATATTTGTATACAGATTACTGGCTTTTATATTGTGGTTTGAAAGGGAAAAATATAATCTGGAATTTGAGCTTTTGTTTCTCATCATTAACATGGCTAGAGTGGGGAGGGAAATGCTGTTTTAACTGATGAAAAAAGCTGTTGATACAATAGGTCCACAGAGATGGGTGACTGGAGCAACCAGTGTAACGTGGTAACTGGCATATATTCAGGATGAGGAAAGCTATTAATAAAGAGTAACAATCTCTTTTTCCAAAGGCAAACTGATCCACTCAATGGTAGCCCACCTAGAAGCCGTTACAAGTTTAGCCGTTGATCCTAATGGCCTGTACTTGATGTCTGGCAGTAAGTACATCAGCTATGGATTATTTATTTATTCTTATCACTTTCATGTTAATGTAATTTTTCTTTCAATTTCTTTTCTTTTGATATAGGTCATGACTGTTCAATACGTTTATGGAACTTAGAAAGTAAGACATGTATCCAAGAGTTCACAGCTCATCGGAAAAAGTTTGAAGAATCAATTCACGATGTAGCTTTCCACCCATCCAAATGCTATATAGCCAGTGCTGGGGCTGACGCACTGGCTAAAGTCTTCGTATGACAGACTGCATCATCTTCAGCTTCTATCTCTTTATAAATAACCAACGGCACAAAAGAGATACAGAAGACCAGGGCAAGAATCAACCTGTTCTGCCCTTCTGTTCTGCTGAAGGAGCACAGAGAACATTTGTAAAGTATAGTTTTGCAATTCGTACACTGTTTTCTAAAACTAAGGTTTGTTCAGGTTGCTGCAAGCTCAGCTGAATCTGTGAGCCTGAAAACTTTCAGTTTTTCCCCAAAATAGGAACTTTTATTTCTGGAATTCTAATTCGCTAGGCGGGCCTGAGCGAACATATGTCTAGCTTGTCCCCTGTTGAGTAAATAGGGCACATTATAAGGGATCATTTAAAAGCTCCATGGCTGGTAATGAGTAGAGGAAGAGCAGAAATTTAGACCTAGTTGTCCCCTGAGAAATCTTGCTAAACACATTAGGTAGTCAAAAGAGTAATCTGCACTATACCTGCCATACTAATCCCTGTGTACTTAATGACTAGGCAGTGTAAAATGAGTTTTTAATTTAGCTCTCTTTCCAACTGTTTACATACAGCACCTGGCAAAGCATTTTACCTATTAGGGGGGAAAAAAGAAATGCAATAATATGTTAAATGTATTATTATTCAGAAATGCTAAACATATTCAGTTTGTAAGCAGATTTCTGTATTGTATTACATTTTTGAAAATGGATTTGGTACCATTCTGAAGTTTAGCTGTCAAAAACACTCACCATTGTAAAGAGTAGTTGAGATTCTGCTTTTACTAAAGGATTTAACTTAATTCAGGTGTAAGATTGTTTATTTTTAAGGGCAAGCAGGGCATATCTTTATAATTTCTATTAATTTTAAAGCTCACTTTATTCATATGATATTTACAGTATCAGAGTGATTATTTCATATCGATAAAATCTTAACTTTTCAGTGGTTGAAAAGATGGTGGTTATTTGCAAGTACTCATTTATCTAAACCCACATAACCACACTTCAGATGATCTCTGCTCTTTCTTCTAATACTCAAATTATCTGACACCTACCAAAAAAATAGTTCATAATTATGTTTCAACAGTCCAAAGGGTATGGTTCATTTCAGCTGCTTTTGCAGACGTACTAAATAAAACAAATGTTTTATAACCCAAAAGTCCTCCATTAGCATCTCCCATAAGAAGGACCTCTTAAAAACCTGAACAGAAGGGCTCCGTGTATAATATTGGGTAAATAGTTCTCTCTTCATTTCCCTCCTCCTCCATTGTCTAATTTAAAACACAGCATGTTTTAATGGCAGTGAATCAATATTGTTTCTGGGGAAAACCATATATTAAAGCACCAGGGTTCCCTGAGATCCTTGCCTCTGACTGACGTGTGGTCAGCTCTTGGGATTCCCCTGACCCCGCTCTCTGACCCTGGTATACATACCTCATCCCTGCAACTCTCACCTCCTCACACACTCTCATTTGCTCAGAATGTCAGAGACCAATCTAGAAATTAGAAATAAGTTACTAATGCCCAGCTTTTCAGCAAAATGTATATATAATAGGCTCTCAGACTTTACAAAATCCATATCCATAAATATATTAACCTTTTAATACAGTCCCTAAATTCCTACCACATATTCCATTGTCACAACAATTGTACTTCTAATGATATTTCTCCTTGAAGAAGTATTCTGGCGTTGATATGGATGATAATTAACTCTTTTTCTTTAAAATCACTGCTTGTCTGCTTCTAGAATTCTGCAATGTACAGGCAAATTTTCCTTAAAGTTAAGGACCTGTGCTAAATTTGCTTTGTTGATACACAGTATGCTTTAATATTTTGACACAACTACCTTGTCCTTTCATCTGAGCTTTGGTTAACAGTGGGCTGAAGGGACTCTTGTATAATCAAAGGAATTGACCTGGACACAAGCTGCCATATCATAGCTGAGCTGCATACCAGGTGAATATTTATATTCCCATGCAGATATGGAATTCCACATTGTGTTTGTGGAAATCCTCTTTGGGTTCTTCAGAGAGTAAAATAATGCTATTGCTAACCTAACATTTGTAGAAGAATACTAGAAAATTCTAGCCAGGTGCCCAGCCTGTTGTATTTATGGTGGACAACTACAAAGCTATTGTGCCACNAGAAGAATACTAGAAAATTCTAGCCAGGTGCCCAGCCTGTTGTATTTATGATGGACAACTACAAAGCTATTGTTGTGCCAGTTATTGCTTTGATTACCTTCCATGGTCTTCACTACCTTCTTTACTTATGTCACTGAAATTCTCAAAACCGACTTTCTCTTCACCTGCATTTTGTACCTCACGGCTGAAATTTTTCTGTTAGTGAGTGGAAAATAACCGTGAGATATGTAGACTGTATTGCAAATGCTGGAGGTGCTGAACATTCCTTAGGAAGCCAGTGCTGTGCCACTGGAGACTGTACACAGAAGCAGATTCTTCTCTGCCAGTGCTGTATGATGTTAGCCTAGAAATGAGCCAGAGCTGTCTTCCAGCCAGGTAGACGCATATACAGGTTCTCATTTTCCCCTCAGCCTGTCAAAAAGGCGAACAAACTTCACGAAGTGAAACAAATCACAATTCAAACAGCCATTAACATGCTTTCGGAGGGCTTGGTTTGTAAATATTTTGGATGAAATGAATTGGAATAGTATCAAAAGCATCATGTAGGTTCCTGCCTTATTTTCATATGCTGTGGATACATCCGTGGGAGCTTGCAGCAGCCTTCTCAAAACTCAGCTGTCATATGGAGCTCATTTGCTACTCGAACCATAGATAGGTATTTAACATAAGTGATACAATGACCTTCAGTATTTTTCTATTGAACAAGTTAATCAATTTTTGCCATTAAACAGATAATTAGTTATGCAAAGTATTTAGCTTTTATAATCATTTTAGTTATGACTAAAGGGGGACAAATTGAGCTGCATCACTGGTAATGAACTTTGTGAGAAATTTTTTGTTTATTGACCTTCATTCCTTCGGTATCCTTGCTATAAATTTCTTTTGGAGATGAAAATTTATTTGAAAATGTCTAAAATGTATGTATATTTTATAAATATATATTATATATATTGTAAGAATATATATAATATATATATAGACTATATATATATATATATATATATATA